TTTCCCTATTTCGCCCGCGGCGTGCACGTAAGTTATTGGTGTCCAGTTACATCCAGTTCCAGTTACACGTGCCGCGGGGCACCGATGCACTCGATGCCGGTCTCTCATTCTCCCTTTCCCCTCCTCTCCCGCGCCGTATGCAGCACCCGCGTACTTCCGAGTACGTGCAACTCTCGCTCTTTCTCTCTCGTTCTCTCCGGCGTTTTGCGATTTTATCGCATCGCAAAAAAAACAGATTATCGTACTGTTTTAATGGAAGTTGCGTTTGCAAGCTTTGCGCACCGTGAAAGAAAATTCAATATTGCTGCGACGTATTATCGGATTTTTACATAACATGGATAAATTACTAGTTTTAAATTGTATTTTATATCTGTAAAATATTTTTAAAACTTTTTTTTTTATTCTTCGCGCGAGTGCATCTTAATACAGATAATACATTGATAAAATATAATTTATATTATCGAGCAAATAAATTTCTAAAATTGTAGAAAGAAATATTATTATTGTCTCGATCAATTTTTCACATTACTTTTTCTACAGTGTGCCTTTTCTCAAGCTATACGCGCTTGTAAAAGTCCACAAAAATTCTTTCTAAATTAGTCAAACATCTAAATTTGTGCCTGCAAAGAACCAATTTGAGAATATCGCCCGAGTGTTCTTTTTGTCTCTCTTCTTCTTCTTCTCTCTCTCTCTTTTTCACTCGCTTGCTCGTGGTTTATCGCTTCGTATATCGACTCCCGGCTCTAAACATAAAACCTGTGTGGGCCTCGGGTGTCCCGAGGTACAAGTTCCTCTTAAATGGGTCAATTGTTTTGCCCGGACGAGATTTCTGAGAATTGCGTTACGCATTCACGTGCGTGCGGATCAGCCGATCGATGATGGAAAGAAAGAGACAACGAGCGCGCTGCCCATTGTCCAAGTTCTCGGAGTAATCGTCACGTCCGATCGTCGTCTCGGAATTCGTAACTGCGCGTCTCGGTTTTCTGTAATTTCGTTACCGCACCTATCGCATAAATATTTCTTTCATCAGTATAAAATTATTATTATACGCGCGGATATTTAAAAAAAAAGAATCATACAAATTCTGCGAATGAGAGGAATTTCAAAAAATTTGCTTGTATTTAACGTCAACGCTTTATCATTAGAAAAATAGAAGGATAAATTATTGTGTCAGGCATTTGCAATAATGTTGAATCCTCTTTGTTTCAGTGAGCGGTTTCGAGCTGCAGAGCAGCTGCATCGGCGGCACCTCAAAGGATTTGGACGCTACCACGATGACCGGCAGCCTAGGCCGCGGTCTGACGTCGCATCACGTCTCTCCTCTGAGCCATCATCATCATCATCATCATCATTCCCATCCTAGCCTCCACAGCCCCAACCCCGTGGTGTCTATGCACTCCGCGACGACCGGCACAGCCGGTTCGACGCACCATCACCTAGATGACAAGGGCTCGTCGCCCATAGGCGCCCTTCACAGCACCACCAATAGCAATCCTTCCACGCCATCCGCACCCTCCACGCCCACCACGGCTACCGCGGATAGTGGCGCGACCGTCACCGCATCCGGTGCGAGCAACCCTAACGGCGGCACCTCCGGCGCCGTCGCCGTCAACAGTAAACCGCCCTTTAGCTACGTCGCCCTGATTGCCATGGCGATTCAGCACAGTCCGCAAAAAAGAGCGACTCTCAGCGAAATCTACGCTTACATCACCGCCAAATTTCCGTACTTCGAGAAGAACAAGAAGGGATGGCAAAACTCTATCAGACACAATCTGTCATTGAACGAATGCTTTGTCAAGGTACCCCGAGAGGGTGGCGGCGAGAGGAAGGGCAACTTTTGGACCCTCGGTAAATTGATATTGCCCGCTATATATTTATTATATTATAGATTTGATTAATTTTATTTTTACAAGAGATAGGATTATTAAGAATTTATTTAACGAATTTTTAATAGCTAATTTTTAATTTTCGCACTCGGACTCTACTTTCCAATTTTTATACATTTATTCTTCTTATAAAAAGATGGAAATTAAAGATAAGTCCATTCATAATCAATAATATTTCATAGAAATGTAATGCACTCATTTTATTTTACGAGATTATTACCGTACATATAAATGATTATATATATACATTTGTAGCATTAAACTGTTCGCATGTTTCGTAAATATTTATTATCTAAATGTGTTTTTTCGAATTATCGTGTAGATCCGCAGTATGAAGATATGTTCGAGAACGGCAATTATCGAAGGCGAAGACGAATGAAACGTCCTTATAGAAATGCCCCCCCTCCATATCATAAACAATTCTTCGGCGATCCATTCTCGACAACTCATGTACATTTGGGACCTAGGAATATTTTTGGCCACTCACCCCCTTCGTACGCCCCTCCTCCTTATACGCGATACGATACGAGGTATTTTCAAATATCACGTATGAATATAACGTATTTGTATTAGCATTAATACATATACTTTTCAAAAGTTTGCAGAAAATTAAACTAAAAATTTTAGAACGAAGAGAGTTAATAATATTTGTTTCTTAGTTATTAATAATATTTATACATTAATATTCTCTTCCTTTCTGAAAGAGTTTTTTAAAAATTCTTTCTTGTTGAATTATTAATAATACATCTTCGTGTATATCTTAAATGTGAGAAAATACAGGACTCTTCTCTTTTGTTAAAGCCCATGGAGTCTTCAACAATCGCAGCTATCATACAACCATTGTCAGTCGGTGAGTTTTCATACCATATAGAAATAACAATTTAATATCGAATAAGATGTATCTCTAATTCTTTTGGAGAGAATATTTAATTATTATATCAAGTTCGGGTGGAATCATTAATTTTCTCAATTACAGCTGCAATCGCAATTGCAGCCGATGCAGTCGATGCAAATCCCGGCTATGAACGGCTACAGTCAACTGGGTACCTCGTTAAGTGAGTCATTATTCTCGCATTTTGTGCCCTCTTTTGTCGAGCGGGGTAACGCCGATCGACCAGACAAAGCGTTTCAAGGCAATTACCTGGATGTTCCAGGTGGAACGACCGGATCGCCCAGTTCCATGGGCGGCAGCTCTTTCGGAAACAGTTTCGCCGCGTGCAGCAGGAGGCACGAGTCCGCGATGACCACGGATACGATGCCCGGGAGATGCTATTGGCCCGATAGTAAGTAATTTTAATAAAAATTGTTTATATTTTGTATATATATCTGCCTGCCATCATTACGAGTTTAAAGAGCCACGAATTTATATACAATACAAGACTATTTTTAATGGATTGCGGATATATAACTTGCAATTATTCGTTTTGTTGAATTTATTATTTTAAATATTGCTTGCGATATACATACAATTTTCTTAACAATTTTTTTGATCGGAAATTTTTATGTTCAAATTGACTGAAGAAACATCTTGTAATGGAAGAAACATCTGGTGAACAGCCCCAGAGTATCTCGTATATCGTTTGCTAATTATTGCAGTGGTAAACGTAAAGGAGGAACCCGGGAGTAACGTCGTGTCGACTAGCAGTGTCGGCACTGTTGGCGTCCCGTCCGGCATGATGAGCTCCGCCGTGTCGTCGGGCGTTTCCACGACGGGATTCGCGCCTATGGAGTTTCAAACGCGTTCCAAGTGCTTTATGTGAATTCGCGAACTCGAAGAACCGTCGATTAAATCGATCAAATTACAGTGATGATTCGAGGATCGAAGGACGACGATTTTGCGCAATTTGCAATGAGACGGATTTGCCGAACGGTGAGCGATATACTTGAATAAATCTGGTTAACGCAAATAATATATCCGCAGATTAAATTTAACAAATATTATCGAATAATATCCGATAATTATTTAATAATATTATTGAATAGGTATTTAATAATATTATTTGCGAAGAATCTAACCGCACGAGCAAATAGGCAATAAACATCGTAAAACTCGTGTAAAATCGTTGTTGTGTTAATTCGATGTTAAACGAACTCGTCATGTTGCGTCTCTTACTGCGTAAGCGTGTTCGCTGTTGATACGTAAGCAATACGCAATGTACGCGAATATAATCGCGCTTATCGTATGAAATGATACGATGCGGTATCCTGTAACGACTGAATCCTTTCACGAGAATGATACAACCATCGCGGTTGCATCTGTTATCTGGTTCCGAGTGTCGGAGATACATCGCGCGACGCAAACAAAACGATTGCGAAACGATCCCTTAACTTTGTCTAGTTTTTTGACGGTAACATACTTGAAAATACCTCAATCCTTGTACATCGTTTTAGGATTGCTTCCACAGTATTTAATATCTTGATGAAAAATTTTGGGTGAGTGGCTAACAAGAGAGTTTGCGCATAACGAGAATGAGATATCATTTCGATCGGGATAGAATGGAAAAACGCGTAGTAATATGAATTTATCGGAAGCACTTTTTTTCCGGATCAATGTAAAATTATTAATATTTAAATTTTAATTGTATTTTTAATTTTATTGCATCTTACTTTATTTTATAAGTTATTCTATTTTATATTATTTTATCTTATTTTAGTTTATTTTATTTTTTCTCTTCTTGTTGTAATGAGTTCTCCCTATATTCTGCTAAATAAATAAATAAAGAAGTGCTTAATAAAATTATTAATAATGTAAAATATATTATTCGTAGAATAATGTGCATGAAATTTTCATTCGTTTTCATGCTATTTTTCGCGTTCTGTACGAGATATGATCGAATGATATCTCTTCTATTGCGACATGAATATTTGCGATAGCTTTTAATTAATTGAACTCTATTATAAAAAAGAGCGACACAAAGTACAGAGAGAACTATCTTGTTGTAGAGAGTTTCCTCTTATATATACATACATAGAATTTAATAAAGCTATATATGTTTAATCGTACAAATATGTTTTATGTCAACTATAGAGATTAGAATGGAATCGTTTCCTGACAATCGCAATGTAAATATATGATTAGTATAGATGTGTTAATAACTTTAAAAAATTATCTTGCGAATTAATTAATCTTATATGTATAGATTAACTAAAGTTATAATTTCTATTAAATGTAACATCTCCCGTTCGAATTTATTATACACTGAAATGTATATGTGCATATTGTGGCAGCTGTATACAGTTCGACAAAAATTAACATATAAAAAAAGTGTAACAGTGATTATATAAGAGATAATTAGAGAATAAATCTTAATTATTTATCATCGACAAAAAAACACAATTTTCTTTTAGAAAATCGGTTTATTTACAAGTTAATTTTATTATTAACTTATTTCAGAAATTATATTTTCAAATTGGATATTTTATAAATCAAAAATAATTTTATTTTTAAAGTATAGTATATATATAAGTATATAACAATATGCCAAAAGTTCTGTTTATAAGAGATTGTAAAGATTTATAAAATTTAATATGTATATTTTGTGAAACATCTGTCTAATGATGTGTGATGTAAAGTTATAAAATTTTGTGTTCCTTTCTTAAAAAAAAATTTAATTTTTATTTAATGTTGCCCATTATATGAAATATTATCGAAATGATGATCGAAAAAGAAACTCGTTCGCGGTAAATGGTCGGTTGAGAATAGTTTCTACGCGGCATAGTCGCTGTATCTTAAAATTTCTCTCTGCACAGGATGCCGAAGAGAAAAGTATATATCGATGAGAGAGAAAGAGAGAGAGAGAAAATGCTGAACCCCAATGGCCGGCGAATGTTTGCGAACGCGATGTTTTACAAACAAGCCGTGCACCGTGGGCTTTAATATTCTCCGTAAAATCTGGAACAGTACGAGCGACCGCTGCCGGACTCCGGCCGCGCGTCAACACCGCGCGTGCATCGAAGCGGGAATAGCACGTGCATCTTATTTTCTGACCTGGGAAATACACCGTACGAAAAGGAGCACGTCGATGACATCGTCAGAGCTTTTCTCTCTTAGAGGCTGCAAATAAATTTTGCCAGTTGCCGGATATATAATTGCGAGAAACGTGCGAAACAGTGCGGTGTGCAGCCAATCCGCGCGCTTCTTTAATATAAACATCAGTAACTAAAAGGTAAATCACGAAAATTGCACAATGCAAAGTCTGACGTACGCAAATACAAAACATTTCTGCATATAATATTTGCACTTTTTCAATTGAATAAGTATTGAAATATATATAGATTTGATTTATTTGGAAACGTACAAAGAAAATCAATTTTTATTTTTATCTTTGTACCTTCTCTCGTTAACTTATATCGCCCACTTTAAAATCATAGTTTTGCTCATCATGTGAGTGAAAGAAATAAAATAATAAAGTTGTAGTTTTTAAAAATACAATTCTTCAAATTTTTATCATTTTGCGTCATCTCTTATTTAATGATACTTTATCAATTTCTTCGAGACTTCAGTTTTCCTGAAATATCCGGATATATTACACACGCCTTGAATATAAAAAAATCAGTATAATTGTATGTCTTATAAAATATTGAAATAATGCCGAGTGTATCATGTGATTGTGACAGCTATTTTATTTGTTTAATTAAATAAATACGCATATAATGTTATTTCTATAATAGAGACGCTCTCTCGAGGGAAATGAAATCTGAGAGATATCACTTTATGCTTCTTCGAACTCTCATCTAGATTCCTCGAATTTCTTTCGGCTCTTAGAAACGTACGCTTTACATGACGCAGTTTGACACATTCAACATAAACATCAGATCTGTTTTATCAAACAGACACGATAGCGAACTCAACTCAATCATCGGTATAGAATGAACCACATATGTGTTACAAAGAGCGATTAAAACGGACAATAAAAAATTAATAATTAATTATCATAAGTGAACTGGTTACATGTATACACGTGTTACATTATTTTTAAGTCTTAAAAAAAAATAGCTTAACTAAATTTAATTTGTAATAAAATAATGTAATTTATATCGCTTTTATAAATCGGAGATTAAGTAAAATATATTTTCAGCAAACTTTTGTATCGAGTTCTGCAAGAAATACACTATTTCTCCATTCAGTGGCCGTAAGATAACGGATTTAGGACGAATTGGAGACACGCCGAAAATCTCCGAACGGGCGCCGTATAGAAAGCACGTACCGTGTTGAATGACGCGCAACAGCTGTACGTAACTTTGAGTCGCGATCGTTCCTTACGCTCGTAAGATGAATATATACAAGCGATGAGAATGATCTCTAGAACAATTAACATATTAACAAATATATTTTCGAGCCTTGAGTATTTTTAATTAAATATTTAACGGATAAAATGTTTCGCATATATCTCGAAATTATTTTGCATCTATCAAGTGTTTTATTCCTTCAGCGAGTGTTATTGATCTAATATAAAGATATATTGTTTAGATATCGATATCTTTTTTAATTACTAGGTTTAACAAAGTAATCTGCGCGAGCGTAAAACTGTTTTACTCATTTTATTTTATCATCGATAAAACCACATATATTCTTATAATTTCGGGCTGTGATTTATTGTTTAAATTCGCGCGATTTGTCGGGACGGATTTTGAGAAAAAAAGTTTAAACGTTACAGGCAGATCGCAAGCCTTCGCATGCCAGAAACGCGGAGAATGCGCGGGATTCACACGCACGTGCACATCGTGCCATCGTGCGTGGCGATGCGTGTAAGTGGTGGGTAGCGATGACATATAGCGGCCGTACCGACCGTTTAGGCGACTATTAGCATCTTCACGGGATGTTTCACGCACGTGCGTCTTTTGTGACGATGGTCTGCAAGCTCTCTTTCTCTTTCTCTCTCTTTCTAGCTTTTCCTTGAAACAGAGAGACGGAGAGAGAAGGAGATTCCTCTTCGCACTTCAGTCGAGTCGATCTTATACTCGCTTAAAATGACACGCCACACCTTTTACGCTCATAAATCATGTAAAAATGTATATAAAATGTATGTAAAAGAGAAGAAGTAAATTTTCTTTTGATTAAATAAATAAATAAAATGTATTGATAATTCATGATTTTGTAAAGTAAATCAGTATTAATTTTTTAAATTAATTAAATTTTTATTTCTTAGATAACTTTAAATTGTTTTTTAAATACTTTTGAGTTATTTTATCTATTTCTTGGTTTATATGTATATTATCTTTACATGTTTATATCAGATGCAGTTTTCATATTGGACAAATAAAATGAATCACATTTAGGCGATAATCATTAACTTCTTCTGGTTTCCTCTGATTTTGACAAACCGAGGTATTAATAATGAATGCGGTTAGTGTCAAGAAATCCTCTGCATCAATCGAGTTTTATTTTGGGTGATAAATGTTCCCCGAGATAATTTCACATCGAAATTAATTTGCTATTTTCCGAGAAATTGTGTTCCAGAAAAAAGAATAAGAAAATCCCTCTATTTTTGGCACACGTGTGCACACATACAGAGATATTTTGCTTCGTCCTCATTCGATTATAGCACAGAAATTAGGTACTACGCCATAATATATGGATTTGATTGTGCATCGTAAAAAATCAAGTGGACGAACTAAGAGTATGTTAAGCATCGCCCGACCGATTTATAGTAGTTCTTACGCATAGAAACTAAGGGCCATAAATTTAAAATGTCGGACGGAATGAGCGTTGAAATACGTTGGTTCCTCGCTCGTCGATTTATCTCAATTACTAATGTTGTCATCTAAACTCAAGTTAATTGTATATCACTCTCGTTATTTATTCTGTGAATATTCAAAATTTATTACACGGAATTATGTACCTGAATTAACAGTCTATCTACATTGTAGATAGATAATGCAGTTCACGAGGAGTAATGTATCTTAATACACTCGGAAATTCATTTCTGACTTACTAGGAGAATATATTTCGCAAAGAGGTATGCTACTAGTAACGCAGTTCACGAGTAATATTGTTTTTTAATATCCACGAAAAATCGTGTATGAGTTACTAGGAGAATATATTTCGCCAAGAGGTCGCGCGGTAATGCCGAGTGATAATGTGTCTTAAAGCGTTCCGAAAATTCGTTTCTGAATTAACAGGAGAATATATTACGCGAAGAGGTATGCGAAGAGATTCGCGCAAGAGGTGGTGGGGATTTATGGAAGGACGTGACCGATGGTTAATATATATGTAAAGTACTCCACGCTGATTGGTTGGATCGTGCGGCCATTACAAAAAGGGTGTATTCTATTGACCCACGATCCAACCAATCAGCACGGAGTATTTTATGTATATATTAGCCATCGGTCACGCCATCCCACGGATCCAGTTTCCACCACCTTTTGCACCAAGTAGCGCATACCTCTTCGCGAAATATATTCTCCTGTTAACTCCTGGTAATTTAGAAACGAATTTTCGAGCACTTTAAGACACATTATCGCGCTACCTCTTCGCAAAATATGTTTTCCTAATAACTCAAAGGAATTTTCGGGTGTATTAATATTGCTCGTCAACAGCGTTACTACTAGCATACCTCTTTGCGAAATATATTTTCCTAATAACTCAGAAATGAATTTTCTAACGTATTAAGACACATAACTGTTTTCGAATCGCATTACTTTCCTCTTTGCGACATTAATTTCCTATTATCTTATTATTGGGCGAATCTTCGAGCGTTTTAAAGACACATATTATGACTAGTGTGTGTAAATTGTATTACTTACCTCTTTGCAAAATATATTTTATTAATTCACACATATGAATTTTCAAGAGTATTAAAGGACACGTATTATTAATCTAAATGAACTGAATTATTTATTTCTTCGCGAAATATATTTTTCAAATAACTCGGATGATTTCTCGAAGATTTTAAAAGTTTAAAGAACGGTTACAAGACGCATGTATTACTGTACGCGAACTGCATTATTAACAGTATTTGCCAGAGAATTAATGGAGATCTTTTTTGCGGATTCCGCCAGTGAATATCAGGGTTCTGGCATTGAAATTATAAATTCAAAACAGTAAACAGATAAATGAAATGTATCGAATCGGAATGAATAGAATTCTAATATAATTATTTATTATTATTATTAAGAATAATAGATAGGCGATATAATAGTTCAATCAAGTAGAATCAAGAAAATGTACATATATGATTAACTATAAGAGGTGGCAGAAATAAAACCTTATACATATTTTTATATACGTTAAAATAAGGTCACGTGTAAAAATAAAATTAAACGAAACTCGAAAACAAGGTCGGAATAAAAAAGATTGAACTATATTGTTAGTACAACTCATGCGGATGTCAGTTTTTATAAATAATCGCTTACATGTAATATAATTTAAAGTTGCAACACTATGAGAATAAATTATTCTTAAAAAGGAATACAAATGAGAAAGCAAGAGAGAAAAGGAGATAAATTGGTACATTTTCAGAACAGATGGGCGGATGCGAAAGCATGCAAAAAAAAAAAGACATTTATCGATCGTCCAATATCATTGGTGACTTTTTTTCCGTGCGTGAATGCAAGATGCGTGGCTTTTAAAGCGAGAGAAGTGGCATCATGACGCGGACAATTTGTAGCGAAGTGTCAACGCGGCTGTTTCTATTTTCGAGTACGCGGCAAGCATATATCTTTTTCTTTTTCTGCTTCTTCATCTCCAAGTTCTCTTCGTGCTCTTCCTTTCTCTCTTTTTCTTTATCTCTCTACCTGCTCCTTTTTTTTCCGCTTGCCCACCGACGACGTAAATCTACGCGTGGGCAGAGAAGGCGATCGCAGATCTCTTGCCTGCTCTATATCTGTCTCTTTATATCGGAAGCTTACATTTCCTCTGTTTTCTAATGTGAATACAAGCGGTTGTATATTTTCGTTCCGCGATTTATCAGGCGGAATGAGAAAAACGTCCGAGAATTATTCTTATTTAATAACTTGGCGATTTTATTCAAAATTATGGAGATGTTATAGCCATGAATAAACTGAGTCGTAAACACAGTGCGAGGTACTTTAAATGACATAACAATGTTATAACACATAGTGTATAGATTGTTCATTGAAATAAATAAATTCGTATGCGAGTAAACAATAACAAATAACATATGATACGATAAACATGCATACAAATTGTGTTTCTCTTTGTTTAATTTATACATATGTATATATATATATATACTTCAAATATTAAGATATTTGATAGATTTTTTAATCATCTCTTTATTGCAAATATCGAATAATTATAATATATACGATGCTTCTTTTAATAGCAAGTAATGTGCCATAAAAATCTCTTAATCTAAATTCTATGTACATACAACATAGATACACAATATATTTAAGAAGGCAAATGTGCGATTATCACAGGATTAACAAAATTTATGTTGGAATTGTATGGGCGATGCCCGTTCGACGAAAGAGCGTATATCGCCGTGAAATACTGAACGGGTGCATTCGTAATGATTTGCGCGTATCGACGTGACGTTAAACGAGCCGCGATGATTCATCCTGGCGCACACCGGTTTTTTTTCATCGTCCTTTCACATCAGTCGGAAACCCGAGTTGCATCGGGCGCGCATGCAATGCGACAAATGCTTGGCTTAGTTTATTCGTGCGTGCGTTTCGCGAAAGCGAGCGTCGAATTCGAGAACGCCGACCTCAGCGTCGTTCTCGCGGATCTGCATGCGAATGCAAAGTTTCAGTGTAGACGCACCTTTGCAATGCTAATGCACTCTAATATACTCATTGAAAAAGGAGAATCATTATTTGTTTTTCGCATATAATCGATACTGTCGTTATTAAAATAACACAAATCATATTTTAAAATAATATCATTTATAAACTATAATTTCATTTAGAAACTATATCAGAAGAAGCATATGAACGTTAAGCATTAACTTTGTTTTACACACAACATATTTAATTTAAATTTCTAATAAATATTATATTTAAAAGTTCTCAACATTTTACACACAAGTAAAAATACACGCATTTAAGCATTACATATAGACTGATATTGCATTTAATTGCACGACTGAACAAGAAAGATGCGATATATATCAGGAGAAAGAGAAAGAGAGAGAAAAGAGAAAAAAATATTGTCCTATATAGCACATTTTTCTTTTCTCGTAAAAAAAAAAAAAATAAAGCAATCCGCGCTGTTTGTCTCGGTTATTCAGATGAGTTTGACTCTTCGCACCTTCTTTTCCTGTTGGTGTTAATAACGAGTATATTTTGCCTCAACACGTGCGCACGTTTCCTCTTGCGCGAGTGTGGACCGGGCACGTACAACTCGTGCTAACTGCACCTCTTTATTTTTTTCTCTCTCGGCACATTAAGACACGTACGAGTGTATCGATTCGACTCCGGCTTTTACGCACGCACTCTTGGCTGTCCAAAAATTCAGAGGAAAACGTATAACGTGAACAGCTGATATACCGAATATCCCAGAGTTGACGAAATGTGAATACATAGCGTTCGTTCTTTCTCAAATTTAAAATCAATCTTTTCTGTAAAAATGAAAAAGATTATCGTCTGTCATAATTTATATTTTTTTCAATGTTTGATGTGTCTTGTTAACCAAACTCCAAATTAAAATTCTATTAAAATTTTGTTAAAATCGATTTCAAGTTTTGTATGTTTTATTATTCATTTCGAGAACTTAATTTGCGAAAAGATTTTATTCGATCTCACTTGTAATTCGAAAATTATATCAATGAAATTATACCATGAAATTTTCATTGATAAAAACAAAAATCGATTTAAAAAAGAAAAGAAAATAATGCTATAATATGCTATAATAATGCCATTTTGAGACAGCATAAACTTCGAATTTTGATAAATTAGAGATGACGGGAATGTATTTATTGTTTGTGTCAAGGAATGAGAAAACGTAAATGGATGTAATAAAATGGACATGAGAGAAAGAGTACGACACAAGAGCACATCTTATACTTTCTGTTATATTAACAATATATTTAATCTTTAAACGTGCCGTTGGTAGCTGGCAATTATACGTGGTACCACTCTCATTAATTTATGCAATAATATAAACGCACTTGCGCATAAGAATATGTTTTATAATTTTAATACTTGATTCTAAATTATTCTCATTTTCTTTCTTCTTGCGGGGAATGATTGACGGGAGGAGAATGAAAGATACTTGTGCGACATGCACACGCTATTCATCTCCTGTCTCGATAGTTAATCTTCTTCATCATCAAAAGGATCATCGTCGAGATTAATACCCTGGAACACAAGATAATTTAACAATTTTAGAAATATTTCTCAATAATGTTAATATTTATATCGAGATACATATGTATAAATAATTAAGTATATTTTGTGTTTATAAAACTCCATAATTTCAAAATCTTAAAAATGAGAAATGTCGAAGCGCAAATATTCTTAAATGCACCATCGCGAATGAATGGAAACAGAGCAGAAGGCAAAGCGTGACAAAACGTAGTAATGGTCGGAACCTTATGGAAGAAGGGCTCCGGTTCGACTCCGGAGTCGAGTGTTATGGCAACAAGGCTGTAAACAAAATACGGCGTGACTGCCTCGGAGCAAACAAGCCTCCGAGGCCTCTCGCAAAAAAAAAAAAAAGGAAAAGAGAGAGAGGGAGAGGGGGGAGAGAGAGAGGGAGAGAGAGAGAGAGTAGCTCTATTCTCCCGCGTTCGTATCAGTTACACCGGGACAAGCCTTAATGATCTGTCGCTGATTTTCGTATTACGCACACGCATGCAAACAAAAATTCTTTAACACAGTTGACTTGCATACGAACTTGTATACGTAAATTTAAATATATAAATTTGTCTTTTAAACTAAAATAATTTGAAAGAATATTTTCATTATGATTCCTAGGTTTCATTAATAATACAATTCAATCAATCAATCAATATGATTGAAATCAATCAATATGATTGAAAATAATTTTATATAAAAGCTATGGCACTATCTTCTCATTTCACACATCACGGATACTTTTCTTTTTTTAATTTTTTTATGTGACGCGTAAATTGCGTTATATGAGCGCGCGATTTCCTCCGAGATATATAACACAAATATAGATTTTGTAAATGTACACTTCAGTGTGTTTTGCACACATATATGCAATTTATATATGTATGATATGTATACTGTATCGTGCAGCCCCTTTCTTGCTGTGTTTGGTAATACTATACTCTTCTAAAGTTACGTCCATATTTAGGAGCATTAAACCAATCAATATGATTGAAATCAATCAATATGATTGAAAATAATTTTATATAAAAGCTATGGCACTATCTTCTCATTTCACACATCACGGATACTTTTCTTTTTTTAATTTTTTTATGTGACGCGTAAATTGCGTTATATGAGCGCGCGATTTCCTCCGAGATATATAACACAAATATAGATTTTGTAAATGTAGACTTCAGTGTGTTTTGCACATATATATGCAATTTATATATGTATGATATGTATACTGTATCGTGCAGCCCCTTTCTTGCTGTGTTTGGTAATACTATACTCTTCTAAAGTTACGTCCATATTTAGGAGCATTAAACCATTGCCTAATTGATTAGTACGCCCTCCAACTCTTATTTGTTCGCGCCTTCTTCGTTTCCGACTTATCTTTATCGATTTTATGATTTATATTTATATGTTTGATACTATTATGAAACACTTAGATTATTATATAGTTAACTGTTTGATATTATACTTTTTGCAATCGTCTACTCGGTGAGAATTCCATAAAATGCAATCAACGAAAAATACAATAAAAGTTTAATAAGTTAATAACTTCGGTCAAATTTAAATGTAATTATGTATAATTAATAATATATAATTTTCTTCAACGTGGCGAAAATAATAAAAATAAAATGACATATCATAAAGAAAGCGGAGTTAAAGCTGTCACATGAATAATATATTTATCTATATAAAAATATTAAAACAAATAAAACTTACAGTGGTATCAATATTATCATCGATCCCTAAGTCATCGTCTAGTTCATCATCGTCCAATGTGAGAGGCCTGTAATTACTCGCTGGCTTTGTCGTCGCTTTCTCGGGTATCACTGACTGCACGGTGGGCATAGTCGTTTTACTTAAAAAATTGTCCTTTGCTGATATTGAAAGATCTTGCAATCTATCGATCGTTGCTTCAGTCGATTGCGTTTCAGAAATGCTATTCGCGCTGTCCTTAAACTGGAACGCGCCCGATTGTTCGGCGGCCAACATTTCCTCCAATGGCTTCCGTTCGATATTAGGCTATAAAATTAATACCAATTGATTGGTTATATAATTTATCATCCAATTTAGTAAATCAAATATTTTTATATTATTTTTTTTATGTTAAAAAAACAATATATATACATTAAAGTATATTTTGTAAAATATTTAAAATATATTAATTTAATATATTTAATAATGATAATTATTTCGTTGCATATAATGATATAATAGATCGCTACATCGGCAAAACGCAAGTTTTATCGACAAGCGAAAGATCGATTTTATATGGTATAGTATTCTGCCGAGCAATAACAGTGCGATAACAAACACGCAGAGGAATAAAATCTTTATTATCGGTAACAGGCGTGACGCGATTTTATAATGTGATTACGAGTACATATAAAAATATTATTTAACTCTTTCACGGCATGTTGTTGTCGTAATTATACTTACCGCACGAGATTCCGGATTGATTGATACGAGTAACAGATTCGTCTCAGCGAAACGATTTGCGTTCTACTAATATGCTTACAGTTTATTGTTTTTCCTTTAATCCCTCACATGTTATTTTAATCATATTCACCGATATTTCCGCGATCAATTTTCCGATATTCCTACATATTCGATCTACCCTTTAATATTGCCAATATTTTATAAAATAATTGCATGATCTTACCGTAACAGCGGGAAATGCAGAAGCTGGAATCTTCTTTTTGCTCTCTTCGCGCAAGAACTTTTCCACCTTCAGCGCTTCTTTGTATCCTGGGAAAAGATTCTCGTACTGTTCGGGATCTGCCAAGCTCTGTCCAGCTTTCTCGCTCACTGTCGACAGCTTCTCTTTCCACAATTTGATGGTGGAGGAAATTTTACTGGGCGCATATGTCCTAGCGAAGAACGCTGCCTCCGGAATTCTATCCGTTTTGATAAGGATATCGAGACACTTGTCCACGTCGCCTAGTATAAAGTTCGACAAGAAAGAGATATTGTTCTTTCCCGTTTCGTCCGCGACCGCGCCGAGTTTCTTTATCATGTTGGCATTTCCCGTGCTAGTTGCTAGTAACAATAAGCCACCAAAATCTTGCGCTTGATGCAGACATTCTTGCGCCAGACACAATTTTCCCTTTTGCGTAGCGAGAGAAGCTAGTTGCCGCCACTTTTGCTGGCTATTCGCTTCTTTGGCGAGCGCGTGCGCGGTTACGAGATTTCCAAGCGCGAGCGCTAATTCAAATCTATGCTCGGGATCTGTCGATACCGCCAGGGCTTGTTCTTTAAAACCCTGTAATAAAAATAAAAATGCAAAGAATTCTCGATACAAACACATTCGTGATAAAAAACAATGTCGTATTAAATCACATACTTGCTTCTCTAAGAAGTGAGCTACTCGTGTACGATGTTCCTTTGGGACAGTCGGCAACACTCTGTTGGCGGTCTCAAAATCTTTCCGCATGACCGCAGTCTGATACTCGAGTACTGATAATAATAAAGAATACGAGACGACAGATAGTTCCTTATCGCATAGGTACAACCTGTTGTCTCTCGGTACATATCCCAATAAGTACATTGGTCTGTCCAGATGGGAGACCGTGACAATTTCACCACCGACGAAGTAATTAACACGATTGACGCTGTTGGTATAGATAAAACAGTCGCCAACCCATAAACCAGTCTTTACCACTTCGCTCATCTCTGCTACCATCTAAAGACATTATTTTGTTTATAGATATATATTAGAAATAAAAAATAAGCTTGTTAAAATAATTAAATATAAATGTACCTCGAATGCATTTTCGATGTCCTCAGCGTTTTCCGCAGCATTAGCGATAACATCTGCGTGATATTTTAATATAAAATATTGATCTGATGTAGCTAATGCCACCAACGAGGCGTTTTCCGCCCAATACACGTGTGTCGGTTGTATGTCTATGCGACGGATCAACTTCAACATATCCCAGTCGAAGAAGGAGAGACCGGATCCAGAAGATACACCAAGTAAAAACCCGCCAAAGATGCCTGTAATTGCGACAATAATATACTAAAACGAAAAAACAATATTAAATCATTTGTAGAAGTAAAAAAAGAAAGATATACCATCTGCTCCGAAATCTGGCTTAAAGCTCTTTTTCTCCTTGAAGTTTTTAAAGACCTTCACCGTCGTATTACTTTCTCGCACTGCGTACTGGCTCGAGTCTGCCGCCCATACGAATTCTGACGCCTGTCCGAACGCCTTGTTCCTTAACGCCATAGATGTATATATGATGTACTCCCCATCACCGCAGACCACCAGAAAACGGCCGTTCGGATTATGCTGTATGGTTTGTGGATAAATTTCACAGGCGCCCATATCTTTGACGGCTAATGGTAACCGCTCTCCGTCTTGAGCCTCCTCGCCCAACGCCTTCAAGTTCACTTGCTGGATTTCGCTGTGACGCGCCCATACGATTTTTCCACCCAGTGAATCCATCGAAACGGCCGGTTCTTCTCTGCCAACCTTCACCATGACACTACCCTCGTCGTAGCCGATGGCAACATTGTTCGAACCGCGCATGCACGCAATGGTCCATACTCTCTCGAAGCCGTAGTTGAGAGACGATTCTAATCTGTATGTCCCAGCATGCCATATTCTGACAGTACCGTCTTCCGAGGCAGTGAGAACAATCGGTAATTCTGGATGGAAACACACAGCGGAAATATTCTGTGTGTGACCTTCCAAAGTCTGTACGCAGGTCTTATTTTGATAATCCCATATCTTGACATATCTATCGTCAGCTCCTGATATTAGATATGGCTTATCCCCGCCATGGTAATAATCCACGCAGTTTACGCCCTTTTCATGGCCTTCCAATGTGAAATTAGCCGTAGACGAACCAAGCTGCCAAACTTTGACAGTTCTATCGAGGGATGCGCTGGCAAAAGTGTTGTTGTCTTTCGGATTAAACACAACTTGCATAACATAATGTGTATGACCTTCAAATACTTGTTGGCAGGTCCAGGATTTCTCCCAGTTCCACAACTTGATCCACATGTCATCTGCAAAATTAAATATATTTAAAAACATAAGCTTTATAAATCTTGATGAAAGAATGAGAATTATTATTCTTTAACGTACCGCTGCTGGTAAGAATAAATGGTTGCGTTGGGTGAACTGCTATACATCTGACATAATCACTGTGTGCTTCAAATGCATGAACGCGCTCCAAGGTATTGTAATTAAACACTCTGATTTGCATGTCATCAGAACCAGTGATAACCCAGTTCTTGCGTGGCACAAACTTGGCTGTCCGTACTGGTAAATCGCATACTTCGAACGTTTTTACCAAGGTTTGTGTCTCGTGATTCCAGATATTGACATTGCCTTGATATAAGGAGCACAGCATCCATGGTTCGGTTGGATGAAGATCCACACTCTTCACTCTGTCTGATCTGGCTGTCAACTTCCGTTTAATATCTAATCTAAGAGGCTAAAAGAAAAAAAATACTGTAAATTAATATACAACATTGTGTATATGGGATTCTGACTGGCTGTTATTTCTATTTGATTCATCACATTATCAAAATAATAGTAGTATTTTTATATTCTAAACATAATAAATATATACATTAAACCTACAAGATTTGCGATAACTGACAGATTCGTTGTAATTATTGCAGAATTTTTGAACGAAGAACGTGATGCTTTTCGATCAAAAAAATTCATTATGCGAGTAAGTTTTGCATCATCTCAGAAAGAGGCGATATACTTTGACGCAACGTTAAAGTGGAATGTACATATATGAGCAAATGTCAAACGCGCAAGTGTTTCATTGTTGTGAGTCGATTCGCATAAGAATCGATCGATTCGCTTTCTCTACATACCATTTTGTTTCGCGATTATCCACTGATTATCCACTGATGCTGCAACTACTGCAAGATTATCGTTGCCGCTGCATTAACAGACCCAAATGAAAGATACTCCTACTGTGAAGTTAGGACGTGGCCGATGCCGCGAGTGAAAATGGCGCCTGGCATGCCGTAAATGATGTTACACGATAAAGCTCGAGGAATAATTTCTCGAGCGATCTCTGCAGCAAATATTGAGTTTATTTAGAAAACATTTGCTACTCAGTTAAAATTTTAATTATACGAGGACGTATATATTACGCATTGAAAAGAAGAGATAATTTTGGTTAGACTACGCTAATGCGCAATCGATAACACTGCCATCTATTGATAATATAGATTTAAAATTGTTTCTCCGTCAGTAATATGGAGATCGTTTTTATCGATGTGATTTTTCTTTCGACAATATGGAGATAGAATAACATTTTTAAACAATAGAAATAAAAATAATGTTTTCGCGTTTCTTGTCAGAGCACATTATATATTTCTTACCTTTTATTATTCTACACATGCCTATTTATTTATATTTATAATTTAGATTACTCTTTTCTTTCTTTTTGTTTCTGCCTATAAAATAAAAAAATGTGAAAAAGTAAATTGTTTTTATAATTATTATAATTTTTCATTTTCTCACTATTATATATTAGTAAATTATTACAAATAACGAGTTTATTATCGAGGTGACCTAACTCTTCTTGCCATTACATGTCATTCTTATTAGAATCAGTGCTGACTAATTGGTCGATAAGAGAATGGACTACATAAAACGTTTATTTGTAATGTGTCTTTCGCGCGTGCGCGACAAAATATGCGATTTCCACGACGGATCACGTTTAAATTCTCTCGACAATACAAATTATTGACAAGAGATCAATAATGACGTATAGTGACGATTAATTTCGCTAATGTTGCTTGGTTTAGTGACACGTATTTCCGATACGGAATTTCTCTGACTATCGCGACAAGAGGAATGCATAACAATAATTAATCTAAGAAGAAAAAAAGCAGTGAAATTAAGCGATCAGACGCAGTCGTACACGAGGTCTTTTACAGCTAGAACTACATTTTGAAATGCAACAATGTCGTCTTCTGTTGCGCATTACGCCTTTCTTCTTCTAGGTCAGAGCTCACAAGTTATATTAATATTTTCGATTTTAATTCGCGAATTTTATTTAGCACAAAATACAGATATATAGATAATAATTAGAAATCTCAGTAAAAATTTTAACAGAGAAAGATACGAAACTTATGATTTCTACAGGGATCGGGATGTGCATCAAAGCTGGATTTGGACTTAGCTTGAAAGATAAAGTGGTTCTGTATCAAAATTGTACAATTTTCGATAATCCGGATATATATGGTGGCCCGATATGCGGTGACAATGGCGTCACATACGCCAATAGTTTATACCTAGACTGTAAAAATCATCACAGCTACGACACTGGTAAGTTAATCCTCTATTCTGCACGAAAATTGGCGACAACACGACATAGTATGTAAAAAATACTTATATATTATGATACTAAATTATTTATATATAATTATTATAATATTAAATT